CAATGAGATATTTAGTTCCTCATGAGTTACATTTGCACAGTGCTTTTCTTCCAATGAGCTTAAAGTTAGGTACTCCTTCTTGCTTTGTCTTCATAGTCTCCACAACCACCTGGCAAAGTTTAACTGAAGGTTATCCAGTGAGTTGGAACTTAAATGTGGACTTCCTTTGTCCAAGTCCAACTCTATCATAATTACAAAAGTGATACAACTACAGCTGCTACTACAATAGTCATTTACAAGAAGGCAAGCTGTTTCTCCAAGAAATTCACATTCTATAATCTGAAACAAGGATAAGGAGAAAAAATGAAGACAAAAGTAAGCAAGAGAAGAATGTTTTTAAATTTTAAATAGAAAAGACATATATCCTCATTCCTGAAGTAGTTCCTCTATAACTCTCTTGTACTTCAGGAGTGAATTATTCCTATTCCTTGAGTGCATGGACATAACAGGGAATGTCATTAGCAAGACATAACAGTATGGAATAAGAATGTTATTTCATTCATGATCTAAACCAGTGGTTCTCAACCTGTGGGCCCCCAGGTGTTTTGGCCTACAACTCCCAGAAATCCCATCAAGTTTACTAGCTGTTAGGATTTCTGGAAGTTGAAAGCCAAAACATATGGGGACCACAGGTTGAGAACCATTGATCTAAACCCTTATTCCTTTTGATAATTGATAAATCCGAGGCATTTCAGCTGAAGGTGAAGCCTCTGCCTGCTACAACTTGAGTCTTCTTTATCTATGAATGTGTGACTAGCTCTCTTTACTTAAAGACAGAACTGGACAGCTGGTGCCAAATGTTTTGGTTCTTAGAGTATATCTGGATACGGGAGACCCAATCCGCATATGAAATAGACACCAAAAAGCAAAGAAATGTGATGCTAATTTCGTAGGAACAATAAATTAGCAATACATTTCTTATGCTAGTGTTAGAACAGCCCATTCTCCACTAGTGGTTTGTCTGTCATCAACATGCTCCCAACAACTGTAGAATGAAAAGGAGGCAAAAAGATGTAGCACTCCAGCACTGGCTGGAAGGTCCTGTTTCTATTTAATGTCTTCCATGATCATTCCAGCTAATGTTCTGTAGGCCACAGACCATTCCCTAAATCGGAAAGAAATTGGATGAGATTTGTCTGTTCCCAATTAAAACAAATAGGAGTTGGGTATCTGTTAGAATTCTCTGCACATGCAAGCTAGTCCATGAAACTGACATCAATTCAGTTGTGACAATTATATTTAGAAGCCAAGTCATACTTGATTACCAGCTGGCATGACTACATAGTATAGCTAGACCAGCAGCTACCAGAAATAAATCTTGCTGTTAGTCATTCACACTTATTTCCCGCATGTTACAGAATCTGATTACACAGAGCACTTAACATTGATTTCTGCTTGCCAAGAAGCAATGCATGGACCTGGCTTCCCCCTCCTCATTCCCACCTCTCACAAGGAGTTCTTGCACTGTGCCAGACAAGGATGTTTGGGTCTTTTCATTGTGTTTATTTAAAAAACAACAACAACACACAGAGACATGTAGAAGTCATGCATTATAATATAGAATTAAATGATTTTTCCCCCTGTGTCAGGAGCAACTTGAGAAACTGCAAATCACTTCTGGTGTGAGAGAATTGGGTGTCTGCAAGGACATTACCCAGGGGGACACCTGGATGTTTCATGTTTTACCATCCTTGTGGGAGACTTCTCTCATATCCCTGCATGGGAAGCTAGAGCTCACACAGGGAGTTCAACCTGCTCTCCCTGAATTTGAACCGCTGACCTATTGGTCAGCAGTCCTGCTGGCACAAGGGTTTAACCCATTTCACCATTGGGGCCACCAAATGAAATGTGAAATTGATATATTTGGTATGACAAAAGCCCACATATTACAAAAAGAGAGGGGAAATAAATCTCTTCTGTGGTTGCTCCACAAATGCACAATGAAAAGTGGAAATCATCTTTATACAGGGTGAGGCAGCATAACTTCCTTTTTTCAAAACTTAATAAAACCCATTGTATGAATCAGAATTTTTTTTATAATGTAGCCGCATACCTAAAGTTTTGTTTTACATAGTTTTGAAGATCAAATTAGGTAGGTGACGTCCCCATTCTCCATACACTGAGTAAACCGATTTCTGGCGTTTGTCATGACTTTTGCCAGCATAGCAGGCGTTACGTTGGTAATTTTTTCCTGGATGTTGGTCTTTAAATCTCGTAGGGTCCTTGTATGGTTCACTCTAAATCCGCTCGAAAAGTAGGCCTCAACGGCAAAAGCACGCTCCTCACTGTTCCAACGCATGATGGCGACTGAACTGTGTCAGGACAAAACTTTATACTCCCGCCTCTCGAACGAGACCACTAGCGTTCTGCTACGTCTTCAACCGACTGAATGGTGTGCATTTTAAAAAAGGAAGTTATGCTGCCTCACCCTGTATTTTACTTGGATGTCTTTCAGTGAGCTTAACTTCTATAGAAACATTTTAAAGACTTCCTTTTTATATTTAAACAGAGCAACCATTCTGTAAGCATGCCACGGAAGTATGAAAGTTTGCAAGTTCTTATGATACCTATAGCACAATAGATGGTATTATACATGCAGATTATTTCACTATTTTTCTCTTCAATTTTGAGTGCTTCCAGATTGTCTAATTGGCTGTTTGTATACAACTACATCACATGATATTTGTGAAGAGAGTGAGTGAACGATAACACTTCACCAGTTAATACGATGAACGATAACACTATGTAGTTAGTTGCTCAAATGGTGCAGACCTAAAAGGAAGTTGAAATAAGCTAGTTGTGTGGATTCTTTCTGTAGTGAAGTCCCTATATTGGGAGAAAGGCAGGATAAAAAATAAAGTGAAACTAGTGAAAAAAGCATCCCCTTCATATGCTGGGAGGTACTCTCTTGTGGATTATTCCACACATACTAGGATCAAGCCCTAATTTTGCAAACAAGCTCTGCGAGCAATTATAGAGAATTTCAACATAGTCTTGATACTTTTCTGGGTTGCAGCTCTCAGAATCCCTCATATAGCACAGCCAGCTGGCTAGAAGTTTATAGGAAAAAGAGTTCAAAACAGCAATACAAACCCTTTCAAGGTTCTGGTTCCAGTGTCCTGATACCCTGCTACTCAAATGAGAACCTGACTGGCTACATATAATGCTGGTATTAAGAACATAAGAAATAAGTCCTGCTGGGTTAGATCGATGCATCCTAGAATTCTATTTCATCAATTGAATATTTTTGAATAGCTCACAAGGAGTATGCAAAGGTAACCTTGTTGTTAGTCCCCAGGACTTGATGTTAAGTGGCATATTGAATGTGAAACTGCCATTTAGTTTTCATAGCTCTTGGTAGATCTAGCCTATATGCAGGGGCAGCTCAACCCATTACGCAAAGTAAGCATTTGCAGTATAGTTGATTTTACCCAGGGACGCTCTTGAGGCCTTCTTGGGGGAAAATAGACCTTGATATATGCGAGTTGTAGTTACTGGGATGTATAGTTCACCTACAATCAAAGAGCATTCTGAACTCCACCAATGATGGAATTGAACCAAATATGGCACACAGAACTCCCACGATGAATAGAAAATATATATCAGTGATTGGTTGGGGGGGGGGGGGGGGGGGGAGGTGCCAAAATACTGTTTGCTTACCGTTGAAAATTACCTAGGACCGCCTCTGCCTGTATGAATTTGTCTCATTAATTTGCACAGCCACACAATAATTGGTGATTACTATGTTTTGCATCAGTCAACACACATAGTAAATTAAGAAATACTTAATTTTGTATGTCTTAAACCTATTGGTAGTCAGTTTTATTGAGTGGATTACAATATTACGAAATTATTTTTCCCACCTCCACTCTCACTTGCATACTATATATGAAAGGAGACAAGGGAATCCTATCTATAGACATAATACTTACTATTTAAAATCACATGTTTTTCTTATGTGATAATTCTGTGACATTTCACATTTTTTAGTTGCACCAAGGTTTGAGCATTGGAATAAGATCTATGAAAGCAAATGCCACAGTTCAACTGTTAGTCTTCAAGGTGTCAGAGTACTCTTTGTTATTTTTGCTACCATGACTAATGCTAAGTGGTTAAGGCAATCTCTTCAGGGTTTGTAGGGGGGGAAAGTGTCCTAGGAATAAGTGTTTGTTTTTCTTGCTATGTCCAATTCTTTATAAAATTCCAAACCCAAACCATTTGCTAGAAGGTGTGAGTGAAAGCACTATGGGAGTGAGTAAGACCAAATTCAATGGGATCAAACTTCCATGGGATTGCATGCATAACCCACTACCATTGATGCAGCCTACATTTGTGTAAACATGTTGAGGTTCAGTTTGTAAGATTTGATCTACAACTTCAGAAAGGTCTCCTTCCATTTTTCTTGCTCCTTTTCTGGGATCATCTCTTTTTCTGACATTTCTCTGCATCTCCTCCTCCTCCTCTATTCTGTTTCTCTCATTTTCATAATATATTCTATGTCTCTGCTTGTACAGTAAGACTTCAGGATGAGGCTGTTTCACACTTTGAGATGGAAAATAATATAGATTTTAAAATATATATATATGAAAGCTTCTTTCTTACCATGGTTTTCCCAAGATACTGTTAGTTCTATTCTGTTAATCATTTGGTATGATTGGTTTGTCCCCTTTTGCCTGTTTTTGTCTCTTTATTCCCTCTTTGCTTTTTTACAGACACAAATATAGTTATCATTATACAAAATAAGGAATGCACAATGGAAAAAGAGCCACATATAATACAGATTTCTCTTGTAGACATTTAAAGCAGATATATGCAGCAGACAAAGACACAAAAGCAATGGCAAGCCTGCATGCCAGCAGCCGCGCACATTAGACATCCGCACAATGATATTTTCCTCCCCCACAGATAGGAAAATTGGTCTTTAACCAAGAGAGGATTCTTACACGTAAGGTATGCATTGTGCTACTTAATCCTCCAAACAACTGCACTTTAGGTCTTACCTTCCAGCTGGTCTCCTAATCCAGTGGCCTCCCTCCCTGGATCTGTTTCTTCTTCCCTAATCTGCACATAAACTGCCAGCTCTCGCTTCCCTTTCACATTTGCAGTACACTAGCAGTGCTCACCGTCATCCTGTTCTACTGCATCCTTTCTGCCCGATTGGCTCAAAGCAGGCAGTATATGAAATCAGGCTCCTCCTTATAGCTTGATTATCACAGGAGCATGATAAATTATTTAGTAAAACAACTAGTGGGCAGGCGTGGATATCACACAGCCTGTTGGAAAGGGCAGAAGTCTTTCTCCCTAAAGGCTGCTGCTTTGAAAAAGCATTAAAGAGACAGATTCAACGAGTCACCTTATTAGCAGGGAACAGAGGGAAGGAGAGGGAGAGAGAAAAGTGAGGATTGAGTGAGATGGCAGAATTATCTACTTGTAATCCCCCAACAACACACATGATTGCCCACTGCTCTTCCTGTGCAGGGATCTTCATTGGCCATGATGGACAGTCATGATAGGCACTGTAGCCCATCTCATTTGGACTGAGCACACAGTTGAGGAAAACCACCACAGATTAATACAGTATTCTCCCAGACTGTATGCATACACACTGGTATAGTCTCAAAATATGGCTGAATCTCTTTCGTCTTTTATTATCATTCTTAGATGCCCATGTAGAATGTATTACTCAGGTTAATACACACACATGCACAGCTACATATTCTCTTTAGTGATGGGGAGGAAATCACACAGTTAATATGCAAAACAAAACAAAAACAGAACAACACTGAAAAGTAGTAATGTAAGTGTAAATACATCACTACTGTGAGTTTGGAACAAAGTCTTATGGTGCTAATAAGATAGGGCCTTCTCTGTGGTGGCCCCCCGGATATGGAACTCTCTCCCCGGTGAGATTCAGTCTGTCCCCCTCTCACCTGTCATTCAGGAGGCAGCTAAAATCCTGGCTTTGGAGTCAGGCTTTTGCAGATTGAAGGATGATTTGATATAGTCTAAGAGTTATTTGGCCACAGTGTTTTGGACTGAGTTGAATGTTGTTTTTAATGTGATGAATTTTTTTAATATGTATTTTAGAACTTATTTATTGTATGTTGTTTTATGACATTATTTATTGTATAGCATTGAATTTTGCTGTTAGCCGTTCTGAGTCCCTCCACGGTGGTAGAGAAGAACAGGATCCAAATAAATAATAAGTTTCTAGCCCTTATAGTTGCTTAATGGTATTGTATTAAACATTTGATTGTATAATGACATAACAAATTTCTACCCCTAAGTATATGATGAGGATGGAGGAAACAACAAGGCTCAGGATCATAACATATGGGAGGTTGTTGGATTGTTTTCTTAAAAGTATTTCATTACACCTCACTCCTAAAAAAAAACACTCCCAGTTCAGTGCTGTTATTAGCTTTGGGAGGAATATTTCCAATGATATCAAAATGGTACACAACTCAGTCGCTAACTACAATGGGGGGAAAAAGACGATACTGGGTCATGGAGATAAATATAATGCTTCTCTTGCAATGAGTGACTAAGCTTTTGTTTCTTTTCTCTTCTGTCAGCAGCATGGTACAATGCCAAATATCTGGACTGAGGTTTTCCCTAGGCCTGTGGTGCAGGTTTTTAGAGTGTGTGACGTGGAAGGGAGATACAGTACTGACAGCAGAATGAGCTTCCATCTTCAGAAACAGCTCCAAACTATGGAAACACTGTAATAGATATTGGCTACAGTGCTGCAAGGTTTTCTACGGTAGACACACACAATAAACATAAAAAGATATACCACATGCTCTCATATCTGCAGGGAATAGCTTTTTAAACTTACAATTGAAAGAGGAAATCATGGATAATAGCAAACCTTATTGAAATGAACAGTTTTTGCTGGATGTTACCACAGAGTCACACTGGAGATCCTAGAAATTCATAGAGAGGTATCTTAGAGTGTGTTTATTATTTGGGACATTTATGGTAACCTCCAGAGGAAGCATATAATGTAATCACTTTGAGGACCTAGAAAAATCCTAAAATTTTTTATGAATGCAGGTAAATGAAACTTCAGATACTGGTCCTGAAGGTATGGGAGTTGTACTGTAATAAAATGTTATATCACCTTTGACAATGAGAACAAGAAATGTGTCACACAAGTTTTCATAAATGCCAGTTCACTGGAATCCTGACATCAAGGTGGTACGGGATTTCTTCATATCTTTTCATGAAGAAACAAGATATTATGGCTGTGTTTTCAAATACAATAAACTGAGATATGGTTGATATTCTTGTTAACTTCTGGCAGCCCTTTGTGTGGATGAGAATTTCTCTTTTTGCTGTACCCAATAGCCTTTAAGCCTTTGGAAAATGAGACTCAAACCCCCTGTGCTAATATTCATTTTGTTTTCTAATGACATAATGCCTTATTTCATAGGCAAGAGTAAAGGATCAACCTATTAGGAAATCAGATAAGGAAATGTCAATCTGTATATCTAACCTGTCAAAGATTGAAAACTTCTGGAATAAAAAGATAACATCAAAGGACCAACTACATTTTATGTGCTGGACAGTGAAGCAAAGTACTGATGTTATTAGAGGAAAAAGGACAAATTTAAACAGAAAAATGGGAAATTGGGATGGGGTTGAGGCCTTAAGCCTTTCATTCAATGATGGTTCTCTACTTCAGATCTTGTACAGCTTACAAGAATGCATAAAGAACAGATGAGGGGCAGGAGAACAATGAATGGAGAAGGGTTTCACTCATCTTCAACGTCCTGCTATAACTCATCTTTCCCTTTCTGATGATAATGCAGTGTAATGGCTAGACTATGAGAGTGAAAGATGGCTAATCCAGGTTCTAGCTCCAGAATGAGACATTTTCATAACTCATTTGGGAACTAGAACACAGATTAACCAGTTCCACTCTTACAGTCCTTGGACCAGCTATTTTTCTTAGCCTGTTCTTATCTTGAATGGTTTTTATGATGATAAAGTGTAGTTGGGATATTGAAAAGGCCCAAATGAGTATGTTTGAAATCTTAGGTAACAGAGTTAACTCAGTAACAGTATCCAAGCTTGAAACTCTCTCCTGAATTTCTAGTCAATTTCCAGTCTGCAGTGAAGATTTGGTATTTTACTTGTCTTTTGGTTCTTAAATTAATCTTTTAAAAAACAAAAAACCCTGTTTTTAATTATCTTATTTGGGATCATTTTTATTGGTTTTTAGTTATGTATTCAATGTTTTTTTCCACTCATCGTGTATCACATCAAGGATCCTGACAGGATGAGAGATCATCAACACATGCTTTGAATAAATAAAGAGGAGAGCCATGTGCAATATCTTGATATCCTTGGAAGAAAACTTGGATGTTAACAAAAAAAAAATCAATACACAAACACTTATTTTCTCCCAGTGCTCTTGGTGTTCCCTTGAAAGTGATGTCCCCTTTATCTTCCATACTTCCAAATATTGGAAAGACAGACAGTTGTCATGCATGACAAGCCCAGTCCTCCCAGCTGACTGAACAAGACGAGAAATAATGTTTTCTGCCAGAAACTCAAGCTGTCTGCTAACAATTCGCACCTTTTGGGGAGCACTGTCTCAATGTGCTCAACATGCTGTCTGCCTTTGTTTGTATTACATCATTTACCACTTTTCTTAGATTCTTTGGTCGGGAAAAATGAATGTATTGTGGGTACCAACTGCAACAACAATTGCAACAATTGGAGAGACATTTAAACCATGTTATAAGCAGATTATTCTTTTTAACTTATCGGTTTACGCTCAAGGGGCAAGCAGAACAACCTGAAATACACAATGTGTTGCAAGTGAAAATGTGAGGCTTCTGTATAGTATTCATGCAAAAATGAAAAGCTATAATGTCTTATTTAACTGTTCATATTTAGATAATTTCACTTTCTACAGCTAATTGAGGTATATTGCACTACTTCAAGTAATTAATATTGTTTTTTGAGTATCACTGTTGTATTTTAATAGTGTCAAAATCCAGAAAGATTTTTAGGCTATATTTAATTATAGGAACTCCTTGGAAAACCTTGCAAAATTGGGTGATTGTATCTGCTATGGAATTTTTGTTGTTCATTTGTTCACTCGTTTTTGACTCTTCATGACCTCATGGACCAGCCAATGCCAGAGCTCCCTGTCGGCCGTCACCACCCCAAGCTCCTTCAAGGTCAATCCAGTCACTTCAAGGATCCCATCCATTCATCTTACCCTTGGTCGGCCCCTTTTCCTTTTTCCTTCCATTTTCCCCAGCATCATTGTCTTCTCTAAGCTTTCCTTTCTTCTCATGATGTGGCCAAAGTACTTCATCTTTGCCTCTACTATCCTCCCCTTCAATGAGCAGTCGGGCTTTATTTCCAGAAGTATGGATTGGTGGGATCTTCTCGTTGTCCAAGGCACTCTTAGAACTTTCCTCCAGCACCACAGTTCAAAAGCATCTATCTTCTTTTGTTCAGCCTTCCCTATGGTCCAGCTCTCACATCCATAGGTTACTATGGGGAATACCATTGCCTTGACTATGCAGATCTTCATTGCCAGTGGGATGTCTCTACTCTTCACTATTTTATCAAGATTGGACATGCTATGGAAATAGTGCAGTGTTAAATCAGATAGGATTTTAGATTCAATCCTCAGATAGGGACTTAATCTTTGGTTAAACCCTTGAGAATAGCTGCCAGTCCATGCAGACAATACTGACTTAGGCTTCATCTACACTGCCATATAAAATTGATCTGCTTTGAACTGAATTATATAGCAGTGTAGTAGACTCATATAATCAAGTTCAAAGCAGATAATGGGGTTCTCTTCTTTGATAATCTGGATTACATGGCAGTGTAGAATGGGCCCTAGATGGATTTGCTTGGGATCGAGAAACTTTCTAGATTCCCTGTACAATACTAATGCCAAATTAATGTAAAATGACATCAACAGTGCAACCTTATGCATTTTATTGAGAAACAATTTATTGAGGTCAAACAAAGTTTTTCCCCATCTAAAGATATATAAGATTGTGCTGCATGTTGCTAAGCAGCAAATTTGTGATTAGAGTGGGTGCTTCATTAAAATCCCTGGCACTTATATTGCAAATAAATTATGTGCCATTGGTTGTACCAGGCCCTGGGCACACATAGAGAGAAAGAGAGATGGGGAAGTAAGTAAAAACATCTTAAAAGGAACATGTAGTTTCAAAATTCTCTATTGTCATGTGCTGTCTGTGGTACTGAAAGATTTTAAACTTGTATGCTACCATATCCTTGGAATTCATTTTCAATAACTCCTCC